AAATACTTCCTTCTGCCAAGGGCAAGGCAAAACAAAGCACTTAAACTTTGTGCTCTTTCTCTCCTCTGTACATACAGTGGCTCTTCTCTGCCTGCAGTTCCATCACAGGACAGTACCCATATGCTATTTCCCCATATAAACTTCAAGAAAACTCATAATTCCAGGAGAGTCCCCAAAATGACCTCTACCCTGGAAAGAGTACGCAACAAAGTTTACAAGACCATGTAACGAAGCTTAGCAAAACTTTAGACCTTAAGCTTAAAAGCTCAAAGCTACTGTTCAGAGAAATACTGGCTGCAGGTCAGGAAACCAGACTTATATCCCGACTCAGTTGCTTGCTACTGCAAGAAAATTGGTCAACTATCTCTAGGCTTATAATTAATTCTTGCCTTAGCAAAGACTGTAAGACATTCAGAGTACAACTACTAGTGTATCTTCTTCTCCTTTCCAGTTTTAAGATGAAGATGGTTTTTACCTTATACATCAAAAGAAGAAATGTTACATGGTTGACAACACTTAAGGACTTCTAGAAAGATTGATGCCATTGTCTTTAGTCTGATACACAGCTGTATGGAGAGATATATAGTCCAATTTCTTTCCAGCTGTGAGAACTGGTTTAACTGGGATGCACTGAAGAAAGCATGGATTTCTGTCTGATCAGCAGTGCCACCATATGGTTCAGACTGTCAGCACAAGGTGATTGGGAATTGTTACAACTCAAATCTTAAAACGAACAGTTCTTAGAAATGACACATTGACCTTTTCTTCACCATCTTAGAGAAACAAAAAAAGATAACAATCTTGACTACAACCAGACAAATTCCTAGCGAGTCCAGTTCTTCTAACTCGGGTTTGTACAGGCTCAGTCTAATTCAACACTGCAAACACAGAGATTGTGCAAGGAAAGGGAAAGTAGTATTCTGGTAGACATCCAGATGTTTTGCTAAATCTCCAGAAATAGATTCCTTCCTATTCGAAGTTTAAAATTGTGAGATTTCTTGCTGAAGTCAGAGTAAGCTTTTTAACCCAGGATAGAAGCCCTCTCTGAAGCTGTATTTAAAACTATAAAGAAGCAAGGAAAAGGTACATTGCAAATGAGATAGAAGAAGCCAAGATGTTTTAACAGACAAATAGCTGCTTGAGGCCAAATAAAGCATCCCAGAAGGCTCAGGCATTAAGAAATAGATATTAATTCGCTTTATTATGGATTTACCACATCTACCTAGTGACAATGATACAATTTGATTTGTTTCCCAGACCTTGTAAGCTCCACTGGTTGATATTTAAGTTGAAAAACATTAGGGCACAGGGTCTTGCAAGAAGAACATCAGAGAAAGCCAAAGCCTCTGCCAATGACTCTGACACCTCTCCTAACAAACAGGCATTTAATGTATGCAGTCTCAGGTCTGAATGGGTGCAGTTTTCTACAGGGGACAGTATGAACATTAAGAACCAGCCCACCATCTCTCCCAATAGAAGAACTGTGAAACACCAGGGGAGGCTGGTAGGTGAAAGGTTCAATGAAAGCAAAAGGATTTTGTTTGCAAAAGTGATTCTCCACGTGGTTAAGCTGTGGAGCACCTTGCCATGGATGCTGAAAATGATGGAAGTTTACGTCAAGAGGCGTCTTGATGGGTTTAAAGAAGAGAAACAAGAAGAGGGTTAGTAAATACACAGAAGCCATCTCTCTCTTGAGAAGTTACTGAGCCACAGATGGCTGTAGAATAGTAGTCAAAAGCTCCATCATGGTTTCCTGCCTATAATATTCCAGACATCCACTCTAAACTGCCAAGTACCATCCTAGATAATACTGGATTTTTGTTCTGAGCTAATGGATAGTTTTATATTCTTCTGATTCGGTCTCCCCTGGGATTGAATACACCCAGAAGTTTCATAGAAGCTGAAGCACAATCCCTCTTCTCCAGTTGTCCAAGGTCGCTTAATATGTTAGTGGCAGAGCTACAAATAAAACATTTGTTTCACCACCTACACTAATTCTGATGACTCAGTCATTTCTGTACAAATGAGCAAAGGAGAGGAAAGAAATCATTAATGAGCAATGAAGACAGTACACCTATAGCACAGCTCTAATTTGTCCTATTGGTCCTGTGATCAGAACTTCTTTACATTTTAGCATAAAAACAACGCATCCTACATTGCCTGATTTCCACTAACGTCTATAAAGCTGTAACATTACAGCAAGGAATGAATTATTGCCAAAGAAAGCAATTTAGTGGAAGCACGAGGTGTCGTGGAAATACTTCTGCTAAAATACAAGTGAGGAAACAGTTAACAATGTTAAATTTTCAGTATCAAGGTTTAGCATAACAACCAGCTGCTTGAATGCAAATGAAGGAAAATCCTCCCAGCTCAAGTTTCAGCAAGGTTGCTGGCAGGACTTTGGTGCCATGCATTGCTGTCACATACCACTCAGCTTCTGAATGACAGCTTTCCAATGTAAAATATTTAAATATAATCCTTGCATCTTCCAGTTTATACTTCAGCTAAGCAAATGTGAATATATAGTAAGTTCCACACCCAGGGAATCATATGCATGAAATTCTCAGTAAGATGGATGTTTTATGGTTGTGTGGCTGCTTTATAAGAAGCTGTTGTACACTGTGTGCTTTTGTGACCTGCTTTCTCTATGTGTGTTCTTCTTAGGGAATGGCTGTGTAGTCATTCTAGGCTGTGTTGTCATTTTAATGCCTCTTAGGCTGTGTAGTCATTTTAATCTGACATAAATCTGGCCTGTCACTGACCAGCTGCTCCCACTTGCTGCCTCCCTCATTTATGTACCTGATCTGTAAATCGCATCAGGGGACACATCCCGCTGAAAAAATAATCTGTCTCCCAGTGTGCTGAGTCAGGTTTGGCTTTGTGCTACATTTAATGTGATCAAACTCTGTCCCGTCCCCTCTCTGTGTCCCCACAGAATGCTACAAAACAAATTTATTAAAAATATGGGTTTTCTAGATCCAGATCGGTTTTACTCATCCTGTTCATTGCACAGCAACTGCAACTAATAACAGTGTTAGCATAAGGAACAAGGGATTGGGCCTGAAAAGTAGGTGCCTCCCTTTCAATAGCCACCTGGACACATGTGGGTTTAAATACACTGAGCTGTTTGTCTCACAGAAGTATTTTGTCAGATGAAATATTAATAAACAAGTTACAAGAGCATATAAATCATAACCTTGCAAGCTTTTCATCATACTCCTGTGGCAGAAGATGCACCTTACCACTTTCTCATTCTTGGCTTATTCTTATGTCTTTCTTCAGTAGATGTCTGTTCACTGTCAAACTCAGAAACACCAGCCTATATCTACTTCATAATCTACAAAAGCTGACTGCGCAGCCGTGTCATAAATAAATCCTAGAGTTAAACCAGTTAAAACAGATTCAGTCAACAAAATAATTATTTTCATACAATATTCTTTATGATAATGTTTACAAATGTAAGGTGAAAAAATTGAAACAATTATATCTAAACATCTGTATACAAGCAGATTCCAAAACCTTAACAAAAAAATAGCTATTTTAAAGTCCTGTAAAGGAGTAATATTTCACATCCTTGTTGTGATCAATAGGATACTAGAGAGAAAGAGAAAATCTTAGCCTACTGACAAAAATTGCAGTTGTTTATAAAAATATACTTTTTATATTCTTCATCATCTTTCTGTAATATTTTCATTTAATTATATCCTGCTAACATTCTAAACAAGCATAATGACTGTATTTTTTTGTATTTAAAAAAGTATCAGTAGAATGACAGTGGGTCACCCTCAGTCTTGTTACTAAATCCTGTTTGGTAAAAGGTATGGGAAAATGGTGTACACAGAAAGTAGAATGTTTTTATTGTTCAGATAAACAGCCTTGTAGTGTTTTAATGTATTGGACCAGAATGAGCTTCGTGGCTGAGGAAACTTTCATAGGGCTTTTGTAAGATGTAAATACAGAAATGTAAATGTAATGTAAATACAGAAGTGACATAACTGACTGATGTTTCATCTGGAGATTAAGATACTCCAGCTGTACTGGGGGACAGATACAAGTGAATGAGCTTGGCTTACAAAAAGTCAGTTAGCTTGTTAGCTTGGCAATTAGCTTATTATTATTATCATAATAATTTGTAACTAATGTCAGTAATTTGGAGTGTGGACTGACATCACAGCTAAACAGCAGAGCCAGCCACTGCCAAAGGGTAGCCTTGCTTCTAGCATGTCCAGCCAATCACTTCTGCAATTTCCTTCATGCCAACGCTGGGACTCATCTGATGCTGTACTGAGCCAGTTCAGGCAATTAAACCTCAGAAAACTAATCCTACAAAAAGTAGTGATTAAGCTTCAGCCGTTTGGCCCTGTGACCTTCACATGTAAATAAAAACATCTGTACATAGGTATTTTAAAACCTTACAAAACACAAGAAAAAAAAAAAAACAGTACTATTTGAAAGGTCTGCAACTGAGACACTTCGTATCCATTGGGATCAATAGGCTGAGTAATGGGAAAATCTGACAAATTTTACAGTTGTGTGTAGGAAAATGAAAGGTTGTATATTCTACATATCTCTGTAATTTTAAAAAATGTAAAAATCAGGTAAATATTTGCTAGCAGAAACTCTTATTTCTTCTTTATCAGCCAGGAACTGTTATTCTGCCTCTGGAGCTCCGCTTAGCTAAGTTTGTAGCTTCCTTTTTAAATAACTTCAGCGGAAACTGTGGCCTAACCAAAGAAGGGCTGCTTTTTAAGATCTAAACAAATCTGTAGTCAGAGACCAACTGGCTCCACGACCTCCAAGAACCCGAGTTGGATCTTCCTCGTTTTCAGCTGCCCCTCATTTGCACAAACGCGCCTTCAATTCTCGGCGCCTCCCCAGTCCCTCTGCGTTCAGCGGCCCAAGAACCCCACACAAACAGAAGCATCGCTCCCTCCCCAGCCTGCCTGGGAAGCTCAGCGACGTCACCACCACGTGCACCCTGCGCGCTCCCGTCACACCCTCCGGGCAAGGGCCTCCCAAAACCGGGGATCCCAAAGCCTGATTGGCGGAGTCGCCCCAGTCCGCCCGCGGGGAGAAGGAGCGTCCCCAGGCGCCCAGGGCTGCCATGGGTGAGGAGGTGGCGCAGCCCCGGCGGCCTGGGATCGGCGTGGGGGTGGTGGTCACCAGCGCCGCGCACCCCAACTGCGTCCTGCTGGGCAAGAGGAAAGGCGCCGTGGGGGCCGGCACCTACCAGCTCCCCGGAGGCCACCTGGAGTTCGGGTAGGAGCCCTGCGCCCTCCCCTCCCCGCCCTCGTGTGCTGTGCCGTGCCTTCCTTTCCCTTCCCGTCCCGTCCCGTCCCGCAGGGAGAGCCTGGCGGAGTGCGCGGCGCGGGAGACGCTGGAGGAGGCGGCGCTGCGACTGCGCCACGTGCGGTTCGCGTCGGCCGTGAACGCGGTGTGCGCGTCCGCGCGGTACCACTACGTCACCGTGCTCATGAAGGGCGAGGCCGAGCCCGGCGCGGAGCCGCGCAACCAGGAGCCCGACAAGAACGAGGGTGAGTAATGAATGTGACGGAACAGAAGGGACTGGGTGGGAAGGGACCCTAAAGATCATCTAGTTCCAACCCCCCTGCCACGGGCAGGGGCACCTTCCATTAGATCAGGTGGAAGATCTAGTGGAAGATCTAGGTCAGCTCCATCCAGCCTGGCCTTGAACTCTTCCAGGGATGGGGCATCCACAGCTTTTCCGGGCAACAGAGAAGTTGCTCGGACAGAATGACTGCATGCAACTGAGAACTTGGCTTTATGTTGGTAGTTTCTGCACGATCCATCCTGACTTGCAGAGGAAGAATTTTTATAACACAGAATCACAGAATACCCTGAGTTGGAAGCGACCCACAACGATCATCAAAATCCAACTCCTGGCCCCATGCAGGACAACCCCAACAGTCCCACCATGTACCTGAGAGCTTTGTCCAAACGCTCCTTGAACTCTGTCAGGCTTGGTGCCGTGATCACTTCCTTGGGGAGCCTGTTCCAGTGCCTGACCACTCTCTGGGTGAAGAACCTTTTCCCAAAATTCAGCCTAAACCTCCTGTGTCTTAATTCTATACTCTGATTTTTTTCCCCTTCTTTTTTTCCCCCCTGCAGGCTGGGAATGGGTTAAATGGGATGAATTTCCTCCAGCAGATCAACTATTCTGGGCCTTACGCTGCTTAAGAGAGCAAGGTTACAATCCCTTTACGGAAGAGCTTGATCATCTAAAGGGGTACACAGGAAGTCACCAACTAGGGTAAAACCAAATTGTACGTATGTAACACACTAAAGGACAGAGCTGCTTTTTTCGATGTGAAAGAAAAAAAGGGGTTATTGTGCTCACGCTGCCCATGTGAAAATATTACCCTTCCCAAAGCCAGAAAGATGCCAAATGTTTCAGTGCTTTTACCATATTTCACACAACAGCGGTCTCTCATTCCAGAGTTATTTCTAGCTGCAGTGGTTAACAATTAATATTTGCTTTTATAGCAAACTCAGAGTGTTTTGTCTGGTTAATCTTTATACAGATGAACAGCCCTTTGGAAGTTAGAACTAGCCAGAGAAGCTTACTCACTTAGAAACAGTTGCAGCATCAGGCCCAAGAAAACTTACTTGTTTAGACCATTGCCCTGCTTTATATGTAAACTTACTTTGTATGTCATGCTGCTTTTCTATAATTATTGGATCACTTTTAAAACTTAGCCCTGTCTCTTAGTTTTAGTTATGAAGTTACTGTCATGAAAAAAAGTTACATTTCACAGACAATGCCTCATTCTCCTGCAGACAGCAGTGTATACTTGAAAATGAAGGGTTTTATAAATATGAAGGTTATGATGGCTTATTGCAGGGAATGACATTCCCTGATCCTTCTTGTCACTTGCTTTTGTAACAGAGTTCTGTTTGCGGCCTCAGATACATTGAATTTATCTGTAAAAATGTCACAGATCTCTGCAGTTGATCTGACTTAATGTTACTAAAGTCTTATAATGGTGCCTACAGTGTTCTACTAGGCTGACATAAATAACAAAATTCTCTCATTTATAGGTGTAGCTCAATGGCAAAAGTGATACTTTTTTGCTAAAGGGAGTTGTCAGTATTAAACAGCTCAGATGGTGTAATTCTGTATGGCTACTGGGACTCGATAAAATTGTGACTTTTCAGTTTGACATGATTAAATGACTGAATATGTAGTGAAGATACATACAAAAGATACATACAAAACCAATGCATTTATATTTTTAATTTTTCTAGAATCTGTAACCAAATTTGGTTATTTTCCAGCTGTAGTTACTAGGACATCAGCAATTAATTTTAGGATATGACTTTTAAAGAAATCACTAATTGGCTCATTTTTTTTCTCGTCAGGGTTCTTTAACACAGTTCTCGTCTGTTGCTCTTAGATATACTCATTGTACAAAAATGTTGTGAAATATCTTTAATTTCTTTTTAATAAAACACAAGCACAATATTGAAAATTAAAATTGTCTGAAATTATGAGTTGAATCTTCAGTTCTTAAATAAGCTTGAGGGGTTTAAAGCTCTTCCTTACTTTGCATGTACATTTTCTTAAATGGAGATGACTCTTTTTTGCTGAGAAGCAGGCACAGTGATACGAGGTATAAGGACACTACTGCCGATGGAAAACCTCCTGCTTAAGAGTTTTAAGTATTACCTATGTGCAATTTTCCTTATGACAGAAACCCTTTCTCTGAAGTGAAGAAAGAAGATAATGTTATACAGCAGTTTTGGAACTGGACATATCACCGAAAATTCCTTTGCTACTGTACCTTTGTAAAAAGCTTATTTTTTCTATTCAGAAGTAGAGATTTGCTTCCTGAAAGCAACCTTATGTACACTGAAAATTATTCTACCCAGCAGTCAACAAAGAAGCTGTACGAATAGTTGACAGATGTCCTACCCATCTGTCACAAAAAATAATGAGGAAAAAAAAAATTAAATTATTTAGTACAATTTTAAATTTGAGAAGGCCTCTAGCTCCTAATGAGAAAACAGTGGCCACTGTAAAATGCCTTGTCATGCAATAAATACTTTCTTACCCTATTTTGTTAATGGTTATATTTATTCTATCTCTTTTAAATACACAAATAGTTACTGAAATGAGGACACAAACAGTATCTCCATATGTCAGCCTTTCTGTATCCTTTTTAAGTGGACTGATTAAGTGACTACAATGCATTACTGCAACCAGCTGTCAGCAATCCCCAACTTAAATAACCATCTGTATGTATCATGCATTTGTATTTCCCATCTCCACCCCACCCCCCAAAATCTGGTTTAGTAGATTTTCGCTGCTAAGACCCAGTTCTTTCAACTAAGTCTTCACTTTGCTTTTTGGTACTTTTGCTGAACAGAAAAATATATTATGTACGTATCTAAACCACTGAATAACAACACTCAGTTATAACTTTGTGGTTCACTAAACTGCTTGTAACAGACAGAATTCACCTAAAATGGCATTATACTTAGCCAGAGTTGAGAAACATACTCATGAACTGTACACAGTTTGGAGCACTGATGCAAAAAAAGTGATTAGAATGCATCTTATATCCAGAGTCTGTTTTTATGCTAAGTGAACAGTGGGCAGAGCTGTTGTCTTACCTATTTCTTAGATTTAACACATTGGTCCCATTTAATCCTTTAATAGAGTAACACACAACCCAGAAACAGAAGTGGTCTTTGCTTCAGTTCCTTCCTTTCCTGTCTGGAAACAATCACCCTCTCCACGGTATTTCAGTTAGTGAACTACATGATACAGCCATATAAGAGTATTGGGTAGGTTGCAACATTACACTTTGCATGACTTAAGTATCTATTTTTGTATTTCACTCCAAGAAAAGAATGTCCTTGTAATTTAAAAGATAAAAGAGACTAGTGAACTGCGTGTGTCATGTGTTGAGAGAGGCATTTAGAAAGAAAATGCTAATTCAATGATACAAAGCATTAAGTAACTCCATTTTGCAATATTGTGTACGATTCTGATCACATGTTTTAAGAAAAAAAACCATGAACGGTGTAGGCAAGGTTAACTAGGATGACTGAGACAGGGCACGTGTATTGGGATTAATGTGAATCAAAGAGGAAAGACGTTGAAGGTAAACATCTAAGAGGAAAGTACGATACTGAATAAAGGTTAAAATATAGATGCATATGAATAGTCTTAGATTGTGAAAGAGGTGACAGTTTAATAACTCTGAAGATACTTCCAAAAGGAACAGCTGAGACAAAAGCAAATTGCCCATTTCTCTTGAAACAAAATACACTGCCCCATATTATGTGATTGAACCTGACTGAAGTCCTTTTCCTTTCTGCATTCCTATGGGATTTGTACATATTTTGGTCATATGTGGCAGCATTACAAAGACTGTCTGAGCAAAGGAGGAAGTACCTGATTCATCAGATACTTCCTGTAAGGAATCTACAAAATGGAAAAGCAAAGAGAACTGTGATCTGTGCTGCAGGACAGAAACCTGTAACTGCCAGGGGTAACAGTTCCCATTAGTTTTCTGATTTGATCAGAAGGTTACCAAGAGAAAAGCAGTTGTCACAAAATGACTCCTAACGCAAAATAGAACAAGGAAAGGAAAGCCAAAGGAAGTGCCTTTGGAAAGACAAAATAACACTGTAGTTGAGGCAGGACATGCAACTGACCAAGTAAACAAATTAGCAGGTTCAAAGAACTAAAAAAAATTACAGATGACAAGAATAAAAAAATCTGTGAGCACTTTGAACGGAAAGGAGCTGAACCTGCGGTGTGCCTCCAGGGTCCCAGGACGCTTAACCAAGGGTTGGTGCAGCCTTGTGAATGGGCCCTCTGCTGCCTCAGGGTCTGCCAAGCTGCATGTGTACCTGATAGGGCCCACCTGATAAGGACAGGCTTTCTGTTTCTGACTCCTCCTCAGCTGCTTCTAACACTGAGTGGGCATTTTGCAAAGGCAAAAATGGAGTACAAACTTCTGAAACTCAATCAGAATTCAACCACGTGCTGGGATAAAATGTTGATGTTACAAGGTAACTCAGATTCAAGTTTGGAAAATTAGATCAAAGCTGAGTTTATTTATAACAAATCATTCATTATATAATACAATAATTACAAACTTTTTTTACACCTTATTGCCATATTTTTGTTCTTGGTAAACAGATGATCAAGAACATGGATTTAGGCAGTAACAAAAAAACAGATACTAAAATTACAAACTTCATGTCTCATTTCTGTGGCATAGAAAAGGTTATCATCAAAAGATCAAAGTTACTAACAAACATACAAGGGGATTCCCCTTACACCTTTTTTCCCAGGAACTTTTGTCATCTAATGTATAGTGAATACGTATATATATACACGTCTCTTGCAAACATACACATTCATACAATCACTGAAAATTTTACATCTCTCCCCAGCAGAAAGCTCCCAGTCATTTTACTTGAATATGTAACGGAAAAACAAAATCTACAGTCCGTGGTTTTAAATTAGTCACCCTATTTCTGAGCCAGCTGTTATCTTGTCCCTACAAAAGGCTGCCGGCGTAACAAAAGGATATTGCAGTTTGTGACAAACAGCATCCAACCTACCTTCACCACAGGAAAGGTCTACTAGGGATACTGTCCCTCTTGTACCTAGTCTGAGTCACTGCTGCTGCTTGAGGAGTCTGTTGACATAACTTCTACATCATCTTCATTCTCTTTATTGTGTCCTGGAGGCTCCAACATGAAGTCATTACTATGATTAGGAGGTAGCATGTTCATTGACATATCACTTGACTGCCAAGGATACTGAGGAGCAAGCACATCTGGAAAAAAATGGGCATAACCAACCAAACTATCAGTTTTGTATATCAAAAAAATTCAACATGACAGCTCAATCAGAACTTCAATTTGAAATCAAACCAAATCTTAAAATCCTTTCTGAATTTTGGACAGATGAAATCCTCCAGTAACAGCTGGAAAACATTTCATGATGGAATCACTCTCTGACTGTAAAAGTCTACTCTGCCAGAGAGGCCCATTTATGTAGATGGCTCTTGATCTCTCATCACCCCACTTCAAAACAGTATATATTTATACAGAGCTCAAAAGAACAGAAAAGACACGTGGACCCATCCTCAGCATTTCCCTGGTGGGTTGCTATGGACAGATGTCAGGGTACTACTCCTATTCAGCTCACCAACCCATTTTATCCAAGGTCAGAGGTTTACAGATCAAGTGGATGCAGAATTTCAAGTCACTTCCTAAGAGGTGACAATAGGATTAGACAGATGATCAGAAACACAAAAGCCAAGTTTACTATTTCTCCAATGGAGTTGTAATAGTTTGGGTTTTTTTTAACAAATTCAGCATAATTTTTGAAAGCAAGCTTTCCATAATGCCTGAAAAAGTGGCTTAAAAGACAGGTAGGAACTGTTTCTCATCTCCTATGAATCCAAACTAAGAAATTTTCCAGAATTTAGTCCAATCATTGTAGATTAATACTGAACATGTACAGAAGAACTGAACTCTTGATTCAATTACTGTAATTTACTGCTAAATTCTATTTCAGCATGAATGAATGAATCCCACTGAAGTCAATGGAAGTGCCTATTTCACTAAGTAATTAAGGGATTCAAGCTCAATTCCTACAGTCAGTTGTCCCTTGCCATGTCTTTTCAATCCAGAACTTTTAAGCATAAACTTAAAGAAAGGCAGGGGATAAAAATAAACCTCTTTTCTTCCAAATACAGCTTTCACAATTCCATACTTTGTCATCACTACTAAGAAAATGTTGCTCTGAAAATGCTTCTTTCTAATATGATTTAATATCACTTAGTTTAAAGCCATTTAAAATAAATGAACTCTGATTTGCTTTTGCTAAGGGAAATGTGTAATTGCTGTGACTGTACAAGGAATAAAGAAAAGCAAAACAAAACTGAGTTTCTCTTACCTGGCAGTCTGCCCGCTGCAAGTGCATCCCCTGGTAAGTGTCCATTAACTCCATTGGTGGATGGGTTGTTCATCTGACCCAAGAGACCACTCCTCATTTCCAGATCTGTAGGATATGGCCTACGTGGGTCCCCTTAAAAAAAATGTTTTGAAATATTTAACAATTGTCTTGCAGACATTAGTTTTCTCTTCAGTGCCAAGTTTAATGACCAAAAAACCCCATACTCTGCTTAGTAAGCAACAAGCATCACACCTGTTTTATTAAAATCCAAGCCTGGCTTTCACTTAGACTTTCTTTGTTCATTCAAACTTGGCAGAAAATGCACATTTAAAAAGAAAACAAACAACCCAAAACAACTATAACCAAAAAACCCTACCACGTTTAGAAGATATCTTTGCTCTCCCTGGTACTTTATACCTAAATGGCAAGGACTGGATCAAACACATTTTCATTTTGGACAACAAGGGAGTAGTACCCAAAATTGAAATAGTCCTGAATGAAAGTCCTGCTTCTGACTCCATGGATTACCAACATCCTCTGAAAAGAATCCTGTAAGGGGCAAAAGGGAACACAACCAGGCATGCGTAAAAGCCTTTAGAATACTTGGTTTTAACTTACAATCCGGGCCAACATTCAGGGGAAAAAGGCAAAGGAGAGCAGAGGATGCCAGTCAGTTAATGGAAATACATAGTTCCATAGCCTCTTGAATACATGTGAAGTGGATATCCATTTTTGTTGAAAATATTAGATATAACTGCTGAAAACAATATTACTCTAATAAACCCCAGCGGTTTTCACCATATAAAAACATTACAAGAATAGATATTAACCATGATTTATTACAGAAAAGAAATCTATTGTCATAAACACGATAGTTACCTGGTACCCATGTCAGAGGGGCACAAACAGCATTGCTAGCACTGATCCTATGGGCATATTTAATTATTTCTTCAGAGGAAATGGCACCTGGAAGAATGGAAAAAAAGTTGCTGTATTCTCAAGAGATTGCATCATTTAACTATTTCAGAATATTGGACACTAATATCTAAAAGACTGGGAATGTGATTTTGCCAAACATTAAGAGCCTGGTTCAAATGCAATGACTGTTCAGAAGATTCTCAGACTATGCAAAGATGAGCTTTGCAGTGATTTTACAGCCACAAGTTTGGTACACCTTCAATGTCAACAGTTCTCCAACCTTGTGAAAAACACAAACCAATCTCTTAAACAGTGTACTTGACAAACACAATTTGTAAAACTTCAGCACCTGATTTTTTATGGAGTTTTTTGTAGTAAAAAATTGTTTTGTTTGTTTGTTTAGTAATTGCAGAGCATACCTGTAGGAGTCCTTCTAAATATGTGCCTCTATTAGAGTAATAAAAACTTTACAAAATTCCTTGATTTTTTTAGATGAAAGAGGTATAACAAAAGGATAAAAGACACTGTAAAAAAAACCAAACCAAAAACCAGAGAAAATGCCTCCCTCTCCCAGAAAAAAGGTCAGTTTAGCTTGGCAAGTACCACAGTATGTCAGGAATTGCTACAAACTAGTATCAGCAGCTAGGCAGTCTTTCAAATACAATGCACATACACACAAACATTCTCTCCCTCTCCTCAACAGACCAATTGAGGCAATTTGGTGAGACACCTAGATAATCACATATACTATTATCAGTCCAAGAAGACTGTTGAGACACTTTACAATTAAGATGTTTCCAAAAAAAATATTTATTTCCTGCTTTTTTATTCTGAGGAAATGGTTATAGTTTCATAATGAAATGGAAATTTGTCTACACATAAAGCATCCAAAATCTGTGGTAGCAGAATTAAAAAAATAAAAAATAAAAAAGCCCCAGTTTGAGCTCACTAGCAACTTTCTTTACAACTGCATTTATGTAGTATGTACAATCACTGATACTCACCTTTCCGCGCCTTTTCAATTGATTTCAGTTTTTCCTTTGCTTGATAAACAGCTGTTGCCTAGTTGCAAAAAAAAAAAACACAAAGTAAACCAAACCTTCAATGCATCTTTAATTTGTGCACATCTACATAAAGTCAGCTCTGTGAATAAACCCCTTAGTTTAATTGCATTTGAAGAGAGAAATTATTCAGTGAACATTTTCAAAATATACAGAATAAAGTAGGTTTAGAAGAAAATTAGCATTATAAAACAAAACTCAATACCATGATAACTAAACAGCATTTGACTACTGTGAAAAAACCCAAACCACTAAGCTCTTATGAAGTTTTAAACATTTAAATCTTCTCAAACTAACATAACACCACTTTACCACCTTTTCCACAAGAAGATGCTCAAAAGAAAACACATCATTATGAACTTACCAGTATGTGCTCTGCTTCTTTTAGTTGTTTCTGCAGCTGCTGAATATCATTATCCCGCTTTTCTACTACCTTTTCTAAAAGCTGCATTTCATGATGGATTTTTCCCTGATCAACTGCCAACTTCATTAGCTCTTGAAACTCTCCATCTCTCTGAATCAGCAGTTCCAGGATCTATTGAACAAGAGTTTTGTAGAACTTTTAATTTGGCTAGAGTAACAACACGCCCTCAGCCGTGCTACAAAGAGGAGCAAATGACATCCATAGGAGTATTTTTGTTTGAATGAAAACTGAAACAAAATTTCTTTCTATTTGCAGAAACAGCCTATGAAGCCTACAACAAAGGAACAACAACAGGAGAACCAAGAACGCCTCTGTAGCAGGGCCAAAACCTCATCATCAACATTAGCTTGAGGATAGCCAAGGACAAAGGGAGAAAGAAAGAACAAACAAAAGAACGAACAAAAGAACGGAAAAAAATTAGAAGTAAGGCATTAGGCTTACCCAAAGAAACACAGTTTAGAAAGTCAGCTTACCTGGCTCTCCTCTCCCGGTTGTGGAAGCTTTTGGTTTCTTGAAATTGCCAAAATTTCTATTAGTTCCCTGAAAGGAGAACTCTGTTAGTGCAATTTTCTAGGGCATTATTGTTGATGGAAGGGTATGGACAGATTGCTCCAGGATCAATATGATCAGGCAAATGTCGGATTTATTAGGAGAAAGACAGATTATATAGTGCTCATGACGCTCAGCTTCTTGTTCACACTACATTGGTTACATAAGGAAAACATGCTCTGCTGTTCCCTGCTAATTGGACCACAACAGGTGGTCATAGGAGATGAGAAAACTTTATTCACCTCCCAAAAACTCCTCCCTGGCATCTTGGCACAAGGCCTGCAGCCATATTAGTGGCGCAGCATTTTTTACTATCTGCACCCAGCCATGCCAGGGGAGAAATCACAGAAATGCAACAGAAACTGTTCACACAATTTCTGTGCTACGACACATTATCACATCAAGTCTTCATAAAATTATCAGAGTACTGGTATAATTACAAAAGTATTCATGGACTTGAGTATTTTAGAGTTTTATAGTACAGTGTAGGCAGGCATGTCTCAACCAAGAGAGCACATTTTCTTCTTTTTTCTTGGAGTTCATGAAGTACTTGGATATTTGTACTCAAGAAACGTGCTAAGTTCCTGTCAAACTATAAAAGACATAAGCAGAAGCTGAGAAAAGAAACAGTATAATGAAAGTTGTCTTCACCATTTTACTTCTCTACTTTTTCTCCATTTTTTTGCCAACGGAGCAGGTTTCACATGTGTGTTTAGAGCAATTAAGTCCACACTGCAGAGTCAGTTGTGAAACTACTTTTACAACAAGTATTTCCACAATGGTATATTAGTTGTGTATCAAACACATAAAAATACCAAAAAACTGGTAATAGTGCTAGGTTAGAAGTGCTTCTCCAACAAACCTCTTGATCACACTTCCATGTAGCCAGCTACTTTGCCACTGTTCTGAAAAGCCAGTAAGAACCTCTGAGGGACCACAATACAAAAAAGCATTTTCTGTAAATTCAGCAAAGTTAATTGGCTTTTAAGGCTACGGATGGCAATTCAACCCTATACATGAGTAACTCTGTATCTGAAGACACTGTCCTTGGAAGGACTGATTCTTTGCTTGCTCCACTGTCAGCAGCTCAGTAGGATGTATGACTGATACAGCAGTGGGACCAGAACCTTAAAATGAAAACAGGTACTTTTCAAAATGTCTGAAACAACCCTCACCAGTAAAGCTCTAAATAGCACCTTAGTCTATGTCTCTTGCTCATTCCTGAACACTACAATGATTTTAGATGGTTAAAGAAACTTGCCATTGTCACTAAAGCTTTATTCTACCTGGCCAATACTGGGTAGTACCAAATTAAATCTATTGCAGGTAGGTCAACTACTGCCATCAAGGCCGATGTCATGGAGCACTATAATTCTGCCCTGTGTTAGCCAGACATGCACAGACACAGATTCAAAAGTATATGAAGGCCGCAGATTAGACATGTTGCTTTATTTTTGCCCCCACCACCAAACCGATATTATGATTGTGAAAGGCCTAGCTCCAGGGTGCTGCAACACTTTGCTGATCAACAGGAAGATTCAGTAAATGCTGCTGAGGGTTGCTCTGGATTCATTATGGTAGAATATTAGTTCCAACATTTAAAAAAAAGTTTACATAAAGAACAAGTGTTTGTTTTTTCCAAAACTACATATTCTTCAGCAACCCTTGTATCACAATAAAATCTAAGACTGAGGATAAAACCTAACTAGACACAACAAGGGCAACTGGCCAATACCTTGTCCTACTAGTAGCAATCATAGAGCAAGCCAGCTATATGGATAGTATTATTCCCTCTGAAAATGTTTTCCTAAGCTCCTGCTCTCCTTGAGAGGTGGAAAATAATTAGTTGAACTTCACTGCCAGCAACAACGGTGGACAGCTTGGATAAGGGCTACCAGTCTGGCCTTAAGAGCATGGACCAAGTATCTAATCTGAGCACTTATAACACTCCAAAGATGAGCCCTGCAGCCTACCGGAGTCATTTAACACTAATACAGGCAATGAGCAGAACAGCTCATTTCATGCAACACCATCTACACATTTCTGACTTCAGCATAATTTTTAGTGACTAATGCCTAAAATCGGTGTATGAAGGTGCATTTCACAGGAAATGCAGGTGTCAACCAAAAGAGAACGACAAGTGGGAGAATAAGGAACCTCCCCTTCTCTCTGAAAATATGAAACGAAGCATCGCCGGCGCTTTCCCACCGGGGTGAGCGCGGGGAGCAGCGCAGAGCCGGGCCGGGCCGTGTCCCCGCGCAGGACCAGCCCCTCTCCCGGGGGAACGGGCCTGGGAACGGCGGGAGAACAGGAGAACGTGTACTCGAGCCGGGCCAGCGATCGGGTCGCGCCGATCCCCTCCCACCCCAAGCCCAGGGGCTCCCGCTCCTCCTGCCGCCCCCGCCGGAGGCTCCGCGCACGCATGGCTCCGGCCGCCCTCGCCCCACTCCCGGTGCCCCGCCGCCACCTGGGGCCGACGGGCGGGCGAGCGTGGTACCTGGCCAAGAGCTCGAGGTCCTCCAGTGCCGCCAGGAGCCGGTCCCGGGTGCTGCTCCGCTCCCCGCCGCCCCCGCCGCCCGCCGCCGCCGCCGCCGCCATCGCGCTCTGGGCGCGGACCCGAGCGGCACCCGCCCCCCGCGGCTCGCGGCAGCGCCCCCGCCGGCCGAGGGACCAACTGCAGCCGCACGGCGCAGCGCATGCGCAGGGAGGCCGTGGGGGGAGATGGTTCCTCCCTTTGCCGGTGGCGCCCGTGAGGCGCGGCGGGACGGGACGGGTGGGAAGGGCCTGCGAGGGTGAGCTGGTCTTGTAGAGAGCCGTGGGCGTGAGGAGCGAGGAGGTAGCATCTGCTTTGGTGAGGCCAGATGAGCGTCTGTGAGCGCCCTCTCCTGCAGCCGGGTCGTTACACGAGGATCTGCGCTTGTTGCTCTTGGAATCACAGGATCAATTAGGTTGAAAAAGACCTCTGAGGTCGAGTCCAACCTATGACAGAACGCTGTCATGTCAACTAGACCGGCACTGAGTGCCATGTCCAGTCTTCCCTTAAACACCTACAGGGACGGTGACTCCACCACCTCCTTGGGCAGCCCATTCCAATGTCTAATCGCCCTTTCTGTGAAGAAATTTTTCCTAATGTCCAATCTAAACTTCCCCTGGCACAGTGTAGGACATTGTTCTGTCATTCTGTCATTGCCTGGGAGAAGAGGCCAACCCCTACGTGGCTACAACCATGCCAACTGGAGTGCATTTCCAGTCTCCGGGTTTCCACTACGAGCCTCCAAACGAGACTCAGACATATGCTAAAGACACAGAAAATAGGCTGCAAGGAAAGGGCATGCAACTGAATTACATCTTGGATATTTCAACTCAACTTCTGAGTGTCTTGGTGTCAAAACATCCCCTAGGAGCCTTCGATCAGATGGAGGATGAAATCACAGAATCACAGAACGGGCCAGGTTAGAAGGGATCACAGGTCATCTGGTCCAACATCCCTTCTGAAACAGGGTCGTCCTAGAGCATATAGATTCTTGAATATCTCCAGTGAGGGAGACTCCACAACCACTCTGGGCAATCTGTTCCAGTGCATGGTCACCCACACAGTAAAGAAGTTCTTCCTCGTGTTCAGGTAGAAATTCCTGTGCATCAGTTTCTGCCCACTGCCTCTTGTCCTATTGCATGGCACCACTGAGAAGGGCTTGTGTCTGCCCTCTTGGCACTCCCACTTTACATATTTATACATGGTGCTTTACTGATGGCCAAAGAAGGTTAAGTGCTTGATACTGAAAATGTAATAAAACTCCAAGCTTTAAATGAGACCAAGCCAAGGGCTTTACCTGGGCTGTCTGCCCCATGAGTGACCGAAGCCAGCAGGGACCCATCTGACACTGCCCATGCAGACCTGTATGGCTGAGGAGGCTAAAGGCAGCTTGGCATCCATCACAGACCTCCACACACAATGGTGAGGCAAGTAACAGGCGCAGATCCTGCCCCCAACCCTGCCAGCAGTTGAGTTAAAAAATATTGTTTTACTGTGGGGGATTTTAATGGTGCTGTATATGGGCTGGTGCTGTAAATAGGCCTCTTGTTCTGGGTGGGGTCACGCTGAAGCCAGTGGAATTTTATATATTCATGAAAGTTTCAGTAATGTGAAAAGACACTGAGAGGCCAGGGTGGAGGGCAAATGAGGAAGTATGGAGAGAAAGCTAATCTGGGGCCAAGGTTTATTAACTGGGGCAAGCACTGCCACAGAACAACTGAGACCCCCAGACCCTGTGTCCTTCTCTGTCAGCAGGCAGCTGCAAGGCCTGCCAGTAAACAGCAATTCTCTTCTCCCCTGATTAGAGAAAGCACTAGATGAACAATAACATCCCTGAGTGTTCTGGTATTTACTCTGATTATCTTTTACCTTTCACAACAAGTATATTCCTGAGAAATTTACACTTATTAAAAAAAAAAGGCAAGAAACTCATTAGTCAGTGTTTCTTTGAATTGTGGTTTAAATAAGCAACTCAACATTATGAGATTTGTGATAAAGCAATAAGATTTGGCAACTCTGACAAGAAGAAAACTCTGCCAACAGGAGTTATTTAAAGTTCATTTACAATACACAACTCCCAACATTCTGATCGTAAATAGTTTGGGGATTCTCTTTAAACTGCACAGCGGATAAAATCTCATCAAATAGTTCTGCCTTTTGAATAACTTTTGCTTCCTTGGTTTTTTTCTCTCCTATATTTCCTCACTTTTGTTCAGGGAAAGATGTAATCAGTGAGCTGTCTGGTTGTGCATCCAGTTCACCGATTGGTTAGTGCCTGTATGGGTGCATAAACAGAAAGAAATAGCAATTCGAAAACAAAGCAATCCTTCCGCTAAATCACTTTCTTCCTCATACTCATTTTGACATCTGAATTATTTAGATCTGAAGTACTTCTGATATATTTCAGGGCAATAATGCTAGTTTCACTAGAGCTAAAAGCTTGCAGCATTAATAGGACCCCCAAAGTTGACAGGTGTGGATATTGGTTATAGGAGGTTCCTGTAGGCTTATCTTTCCTTCTTCTTGTGCCCAGGAGCTTGTTCCCTCCCATCGGGCCAATAACACCAGTCTTTCACTGGAGCAGCCACCCTTCTCTCCCAACTTCTCAATTTTCTGCCCCTTTTCCAGGCAACATGTTCATCTGTCTGCTTTCTACTGCCAAGTCCTTCCCTTTTCCTTGTCCTGGGGATGTAGCTATGGCTGGGAAGTGCAGGGGTATAGGCAGAGACTTAATTGTGCTTGTGCCCCTGTGTGGGAGAATAGAGTGAGACCAGAGGCATCAAGGAATGCCTGCCTGTGCCAAGACATAGAAAGTCATTCAGAGTATGTCAGAGGGGTCATCTGCTTCAGGGCAAAGGGAAAGGCTGAGTGAAATGGGCTCATGCCCCAAACTTGCCTGATGGGCTGATTGCTTTAAGACTGAGTAGATAATTTGCTGAATAGACTTCTGGAACACTTGCCCATATAAAACAACAGAGCCTCTGTTTCTCCAGTGTTGGTTCCTCTGTTTCCTCAGTTCTTTAGTGCTTTTGGCCTTCTTTCCCCTGAGTAAACTTTTTTTCATAGTTGTGTTGGTTTTGAGCCAAATCTGCTTCTTTAAAGATCATGCCCCTCCTGAATAACTAAGCATTGTTCCTAATTTTTTTCAGTAGTCTGAGAACATTTTAGATTATGTGGTCATAAATGTATCTTTCCATCCACAGTGAGATTATTAGACATTTCAGAGCTCTTTCATTTCACATCGTCTTTTCAGTAGTATACTAAATATATTGTTAAGAACCTGCTAGCACAAGCAAAAATAGCTTATTTTATCCTGTTCAGTTAAGTCTTGTCTCTTCTGGAATGGGCCTTGAAGTGATGATCTCCTCTAGACAGATCCATGAGCAGCTGAGCTGATCTAATAGTTCACCAATGCCGAGAAGCTGAGATGTTGCTGACTCCTCATCTCCCAGCCACAGATTTTCACTCTCTCTTAGCCCCTTGGTGTTTGCCATATGCTTCCATGAGCCACGTCAACTCAATAACAAGACTGAGGAATATTTAATTTGGGAGAGGGTGTTCATTTCCTTCTGGGTTAGTGAGTGAACTCGAACCTCATCATATAGAACCATGCCTTCAGGGTGCAGTTTTAGTTACAACTAATTTAGTACGACTGTGGGCTAGTGCTGAAAAGTGCAGTCTTCCCCATGTCTCTTCAGCCATGCTCCCCCCTTTTATGAGGTCCAATGACTGTGAGACTGCAGAATGAATCAAGTGAGCAAATGTGTTCAATGGAAATCCATCATTTTTCTGGTGGATTTGTTTTCTGTCAGATGAGCATGTTGAAGTCATTGAGTTCAGGGCTGGCCATTGCTAGGTCACTAGACATAAGGGAGTATGTGGCCAGGGGAGCAATGAGCGATGCTACTCTTACTAAAAATGAAGTGCAATTCAGACCTAGGTTTCCTCTGGTGCAAAGCCTTTTCTTCCAACATACTATTGTGATTTCTTAACTCCTGGTGTTCCTACCTTACTTTTCATGAACTAGAGGATCACTTTGGAACTTGGAAGTTGAGCTGTAGAGAGTCATCTAAGAAGCCCAAAGCAGATATGTGTTTCAGTTAGTCTGTATCTTTTCCATGCTACGGTGCTTTTCAGATATCTTCTTATTTATACATTCCAGACACCACACATCAAGTGTTCAGTTGGTAAGTGTTGGGTATATCATACCTTAAAATAATAAGGAAAAATACTGACTACAGAAGATACATAAGTCCCGAAAGCTCGCAGGACCATGTGTAATAAAATAGTGCAATCACTACAAATAAAAAGGCAGGAGAATAAGCAAAGAGAGCAAGAAGGAAAAGGACATAACAAATTCTCATTTCCACTTCCACTAAAAAATGTAAAAATAAAATCCTTTCTGTCAAATATCAACTAAAATAGAAATCAAACATCTTGAGCACTGCTTGGAAGGATTCCACAGCTGTACTTTGGTCTGTGGAGATGAGAATAATCATCCCTTATTTGTCAAGCTGTCTTTACACAATTAATAGTTTGAAATGCCTCTGATAAATCATCCATTTCTTATTGCTATTTAAAAAGAAATTTTTATTTCCTTGCTCACTTATGTTAGATAGTGATTTTAGAATGAGATGAGAAAGGAAAATAAAAAAATAAGAAAGTAGCTTTGCTTAGCCAGTGTAATTCTAGAACACACTAAAGATGAGGTAAAAATATATAATACTGTGAGCCAAAGCTTATTTTTTTGGGGGGAAGGAGTGTGAAACACTAGTACATATGGCCAAAACTAGCGTGTGGTGCACCATTCCAGACTGTTCCAGAACAGAATTAACTCTGCTTTGAGCTATATTAAAACTGAGTTACACTGATTTCTGCTGGTGTAAATTTGGGCACAGAGCCCTCAAGACAGGAAGTCACCCAGGCAGAAAGCAGTCCAGGCCTTCAGTCTGCTGGAGGGCTTGTGGGGACCAGTACTGCCTATGAAGCAGGAGGCGTTGAGTGGGAAAGAGAATCAGAACTGGCCCTGCATAGTGAGGGGAGGGAAAAAGGGAAAAAAAAATAATGTCC